CACATAATCAAATTAACTCAGAAACTCATGTACTACATAATCTTTCTACATGCTCATAATAGGTTTTTAAATAACACATGGCACTTAATTATTGCTCCTCCATTTTTTTTCCCTTGATTTATGTGCAGTCAACTTGGGACAGTTGATAATGAGATAGAAGACACATAGGATTTTGGATACATATATTCTGCCAAATGCCAAAAACCTATTAAACATATAAAATATGCTATTACATGATAAGCACAAAAACCAAGAATAAAGCAAAAAAAGTCACAGTAATCTGACAATTTCAAAGCACTTACAGATAAACTTCCAGCCTAGTTGCATAGTACAAAGCTATTGCCGTAATGAAGACACAAATGTAAGTAAGAACGTTGACAATAAATATGAACTTCACGAATTCCTTAGAACCCCAGATCGGCTCAAGCAGCTTGCCCATGAAAAGCAGAGCAAATACACTAATTGCCACCTGGAGATCTTAAAATTTAGAATTTAAATAAAAAAGAAATATTTGGATAAGCAGAGTCAGCCAGGAAGAAATGAACAGCGCAATTACCCCATATATTGTCTGTTCAGTGTAACCAGCTGTTAAGAGGTTCCATGCAAAAGGAATAGTCCTACAAATCAAACAGTCTGTGGTTATAAATCCATCAAAAACATTGAACTATAAAGTTCAAGCAGCTCAAGCACAAACATCATATATCATATAATCAAGAGAGCAGAAGCAATTCTCACGCAACCCCCTCAAGGATCTAAGTAAATGTCAAAAACCTTCCTCTTCAAAAAGCAACAATGCAAGATTGGATTTATACAAGTCAAATGAAGACCTTTGTCATGAAATGTAGCAGACAGTCTCAATCTAGGTGGCAATAGTTTCAGGCCCAAACATTTTCCCTCATTCCAGGCTTAGTTAGAGACTTAGGAGTCCCATAACTATTGTTCCATGATTATTCCGGCCCAATACCAACAAATCTAGGCAAGGCCTAAGAGGAATTCTTCACCTTCCAAATGATGTTTGCTACAAGAAAAGCTGGAAATAGAGGGGGTCAATTCAAGCAACATAAAAAAAAAAAAAAAAAAAAAAAAAAAAAAAAAAATATTACAAGAAAAAGAGTGATGAATCCCAATCCATACCCTAGGATCCTCCACAGCAACTAAGTGAAAATCCAAAGCCTTCAGTGAAGAAGAGAACCCCTGAAACTCCCTATCATGTACTAGCCTTCAAAATTGTAAATCCAAAACATTATCGAAAAAAAACCATCCGCTTTTCCCTTCAAGCATCTTCACAAAATTGAATACCACAAACATACCCTATCTTCAACCTCATTAAACGTGAGAAAAGATTAGAAAACAATCAAACAAACTTCCAAGTAGAACCATGTGTTACTATAAAGGCATTTTGAGCATCCCACCTTTGCATGCAAGATTTTCTTGAGGACTCAATGCCAAAGGAACTTAGAATCACAAGGAAAACGTCACAACCATATTCCTACAACTGCCAATACCTTTTGACACCAATTTCCCAAGGCCGTCCTCTTTTTACCTTCACTTACCACACCACACCTAATCCCAACTCACAAGATGATCATCTCTTATGTTGCTAGATGCCAGACCAAATTATATTCTTCTTCGTCCTCTCAATCTTATTTTCAATAAAAGCCAAAATCATGGACAAGACCAGCTAAAATTTATGATCAAAGCTATGCTTCCAGCAAGAGAAAAGTAGACCTTACTCCAATCAATTTCTAATGACTCCTTGAAATAAACAATTCATCAAAAGAGTTCAAATGTGGATTTCCTCCAAAAGGTGAACCCAAGTGGAGTAAACATGGATCTTGTAGTATTTTGCTAATTGTTAGATAATGGAGCTATTCTCCGATTTCTGTTAAATTCATATTATATGTCACAGATTAAATTCATATCGCTCACATTTCCTTGTTCCTTCCATTACTTCCAGAAATTAACAATTGAAAACCTAGTGATCTTCGAATGTAATCCTCGAGTTTTGGTGAGAATCTAATTCATTTAAATCCAAATCTTCATCCCACACATGCATCAAAGAGGAGTTAACAGAGCATCTGATTGACTTAGATTCATCAAGGACCAAAAAAAGCTAAAATTGCGTTTTAGGTGGAGGTTAATCCTTCACAATCACATCATGAAGAATGATTTGAGTGAGATTCTTGCATTAATGGACAATTATGATCTCAAGAAGCGTTAAAATAAACTATTTGAGAGTTCCAACAAAATTCAAGTTCTTGCCTATATTTATTATTTAGTGTTCACTACCCATAAAATAAATTTATGTACAAATCAAGCTCCTAACACTTCATTCGTACAGTTTTAATCCCCAGTGTCTACACACCGTGTATCTTCCAGTTATTTAGGCAGTAAAAAACTATCAATTCTAACAGGATGCCACTAGTGCCTTCAGAATACCGACTAATATATGATTAACAATTGTCAACATAGCCTCAAGACATAAAAATTCTTATATAGCTATCTTTCATCACATATGCCAATTACCACATAGTATATCTAACAAAAAAAACCCATATTTCCATTTTTCAATAATATAGCAAACATAAACATTCTTGAAGTAACAAACATAATCTATCCCATCAAAGACAGTGTAATGTACCTTGCAGGAATAAGAGCAAGATAAGTGACTGCCGGAGGGAAAAGCTGAACTAAAATGTGTCCACCAATAAGCACCACCGCAAGCCCTTTACACAGCTTCGTAAACCCAGTAAATAAGCCCCCGCCCTACCGACAACGAAGCAACAACACCATTAAAAAGATAGCAACACCAGTAAATATATAACAAAAGGCGAATTTACAATTTAGCACAATATGAATTCAATGCAATTAATCTAGCAAATTGAACTTTCAATAATTAAACAAAAATCACTTAGCTAGAAATATGAACATTTATAGATCTAAATTAAACTTAAATTAATCAAAATTAAAGTGATGAGAGAGATCATACTCCAGAAAGTGCCGGAGTACTCATGTCCTAAGGACTTCGATTGACGACGAATATGAACCAATAATGACTCTCTTATCAATGATCTTCGTTGTTTTTGTTGCTGATTTTCGAATTTCTTCGCCTTTGAATTCAAATCCTGAGAATGTTGAAATTGAAAAGAAAATTGTGCGTAAAAAAAAACTGGAATTATTGAATTAAAGTGTATAAAAATTCAAGTGAGATCTAAATTTATGAAATTAGGGATTGATTGATTGAACTAACCTGAAGATGTTGCTCCCCAGTGTCCGAAAGGTAGAAAAAATTGGATTGAGGAATTCAGGAGAGAGAATGAGATTGATAGATGGCGAGTCTTTTTCTCGGAAGCCCGGAGTTGGGAAAGAGTGAAACTCAATTCAGGAATTTGGGCAGTTTGAACTTGGGACTAGAGGTGTCAATTCAAGTGAGACCTTGAGTCGTGTTCGCCTATTTGGTAAGGTCGAGTCGTGTTTAGTAAGATCGGTTGAGTTTATTTTAAAATTGAATTATACTGAATTATTATGTTTATATAACTCAAAATTTGAATTTGATTATTTGGATCATTGGGTTTTGGATAGTGGGAGGAATGGAGTATAGGGTTTTTTTTTTTTTTTAGTTTATAGAGTGGTACAAGTTTGCAATTATGAATGATATCAAAATGCTATGGTTTGGAAGTTGATTATTGCATCTCTTGTGTTGGCTTTGTTCAAGAATGAATATTTTTGTTTATCTGACTGTTAAATGTTTGGTATAGTTATAATCACCTCCTCTTGGGAGCATCTACAAGTAAGGGTGTCCATTATTCGGATAAAAACCGAAATCCAACCAATCCAAACCAAATTATCAATTTGGATCGGATCCAAACTTTAAATTGGATCGGATCGGATTGAATTTTTTGAAAATTCGAATTTTCGGATCGGATCGGATCGGATTGACCTTGTTTGGATCCAAAAAACCGAATCAACCGAAATATGAAACCATGCTTTTATAAATAAGGATTGCTTATATTAATCATGTAAAATTATGTTGATAAGTACATTAATATAAATTATGTAAAACAATGTTTTCAAAACTTTGTATTAATCATGTACAACTATGTTTTCAAGACTAAAAATTTTATAATTACATTTTTATTTTCATAATAACTTTAGGCCCTAAAAATTTACAATGTATTTTAATTCGGATTTTCGGATTGGATTCAAATAACCGAATTTTAATTCGGATTGGATTGATGAGAAATTCGGATTAGATTTGAAAATTAAAAATCGAATTTTATTTCGGATCGGATTGGATTTGGCCTAAATCCAAACCGAAAACCGAATAAACACTCCTATAGTCCTATCTACAAGCTTATACTTCATACAAGGTATAAGGTATGAGTTTAAAAAATTAAATTTTGTTCAAACAAATGTTGGGCATGAGTTTTGGTATTCATTTTTACCAAGTTTCTCATGGCCGAGGAAAATTTTTCTCATCACTATGAATGATCTAAAATAAAACTTCAATATGAGCTATATCGAAGCAATTTGCTCAAGTCATAAATCCTCATACCTCCAAAGACAAAAATGTTGCTCTATGTGTTATGAGTAGAAACGATAACCATCCTTTATCTCCTAAGAGTGCCAAACTAGAACTTCCTCTATTAAATGTTCGGATGAGTGTTTGATGGTGCTCTTAAGGGAAGGACAATGAGAACAAAGTGCCGTTGCCTGTTGGTATGGTTGATTATGCCAATGGTGGAGATGGTGTAAGGCATTGGCTGTTGACAGTGGTGACGATTAAAGGGTTGGCATGGGTGTCTATAAGGGGAGCATGCACTACGTGAACATAGCTATTGTTTGCTTCCGAACATAGCTATGACTCGTGAGGTTATTTATCCATCATACAAAAACTGAAAATCAATTTTATTTCCATATTTTTTGTTCTGTTCTTGAGCTCATGAAAGTCTAAAAATAGTTGGTTTGATCGAGAGTTATTATCTTTCGCGAAGAACGAATAACAAAAGTGGAGGGAAATTATACATAAATCTGGAGTTATGTACAAGAAAGTGATACATCTGGGGAGATTTTTGCTACATTAAACAATTGATGACCCACTGCAATCTTTCTTGTGTATGGGACATGTACAACCACCATCATGTACAATTTTACCTACAATGTTTCCTTAACTCACATAGTATCGCATAAGGCTTCATCGTACAGAGAGAGGCACAGTCAGACGTCACAAGATGGGAAAAAGCTCTTGCCTAGAAGAAATCCTTGGCAAAACCAGAAGAACCAAATCAGAAGAAAGCGAAGATCCCTCCAATCTGGAGCACCGGCAGGGCCTCTAACAAACCTGTTATTACCATTTGTGTTGATGCAGCCTGAAAGGAGACAAGAAAGGGCAAAAAAGGACAATGGCAGGCTGCCATAGCTTGGGTAGCAGAAGCAGGGCATCTAGACAACTTCCAGGGAGCAGAACGAGTTTTTGCTAGCACTCCAAGCCAAGCAGAGGGGCTGGCTGTCCTTACAGCTCTTAACGCAGTGTCACAATCCTACTCCAATATTGTCATCAAATCAGACTCACAAGAGGTTGTTCAAGGACTACTAAAGTCATCTACAGCCAAAGAACTGAAACACAATATCATAGATATAAGAGCAGCAGCACGCAAAGTGGACCTAGTAATATGTATCAAGGTAGATAGAGCACAAGTCCATAAAGCCCATACTTTAGCTGTCAAGTGTAGGAAGTATGGGTGATCTAGCACTCATATACTGTAGCCTTATGAGCGTTTGTTTAAACCATGGAAAAAACGATGCTTTTTCCTCTTTGTATGCTTCTTATTTTGCCTTGCTGCAATGAAAGGTATAAATTGCACCTGCATAACACAGGAATGCAAGCCAATAAATCCTTCCACCTTAGAACCAGATACACGTGCAAAGTGATGCTTTTATTTGTTTCGAAAAGTCAAATTTAAAGCAAGCACTCTCCAAATTGAGGTAAAAAGGCGCAGTTGTGCAGCATGCCATGAACTCAAAATTTGAAGTACTGGAAAGTTGGGGAAACAAAGGGTACCTGAGAATTATTGCGTATACCAAAATCCTGAAGAGCCGCACTTTCATTGAGTAGCTTCTCATTATGATACAAAAGGCAATAATTCGCCCATACATGTTTCCTGTAATCTCAACATTAAGTAGTTTCAGGAAAAGCCAGCGTGAAAGATTTAAAAGTCAAGCATGGAAGTGGGTTAAGAGAAAGAAAACTTCTTATATTTTTTTTAACTCCCAAATTATCCAATTTCAAAAGTTAAATATAGCATCTTTTAACTGTAAGAATTTGTTTAAATGCTGAATACAAAGGCATTATAATGACTTTGAAGTACTAGCTCGTCACATTCTATACACTTAATTATCAAGCATCAAAATATGTGTGGCAAACAGCAACTGAAACATTAATATATAATGCCAGTTATCATAGTTGTATCAAGCTTAAACAAACACCAAAGCCTAATTACTTAGGTGAGACCAGCTTAGAGTGAATAAAATACAAAAATGCTCTAAAGTCTAAATATATTTTATGCTAATTATTAGTTTACAGTAAGAAGTAAACCTTCCCCTGAAATCTAATGTATAGTGTCCCTCAAGCACCAAAACATGAGCATTTCATGTTAAAGTGAAACCATGAGAAAGACTGGTTCAAAATAATTCAAGATATAGCAAAGGTAGATTTTTTTTATTTTTTTTGGCAAGGGGGAAACAAACAGAAGGGTTAGTGCCCTTTTCTACCCTCAGTAGCTAGTTTATGGGCTCCTTAAACCCTATCCCTAGGAACATAGGAACAAGAAAGGTAAGTTAAGGAAATACTAATGTCAAGGATATCTTGAACTAGATTCTTCAGCTCCTTTACTGCAAAGGTAGTTTCTGATACTATTATTGAAAACAAAGTTTACAGTTAGATATTTTCACTAATCAATTACCCAGATTGGCAGCTAAATTGATTCAGGAACCTGAAACAAAATCCAACTGATACTGCATTTAGAAGCGTCAAATACCACTCTATTAATCTCTAGTTCTCTACACTCTCATCAAGAAGAAGAATCAGTCCATTTGACTCATTAGTCAATCTCATCATACAAGGAACTCTACATCACATAATCACTACTAAACCATTATATTATTGCAGCTTTCACTTAAAGATCAAATTTGTCAGAAAAGTACAATTAGACTAATTATAGTATTACAATTAAACGTTGTTGTGCATACAAATTTTACCAAGGCAACCTAAGAAATGGTTTCTTCTCCGCATTGACAATTTTCAGCTTTAAATACACCATCATCAAGTACAACAGTAAACCGTGATTCAAATCTTCTTACCTGCCGCCTATCTCATGGGAGGCAGGTGCATAAGAATGGCACTGAGTACTAGAGCATCCCCCAAACTATAATTGATTTTACCTCATTGAAAGGCAACCTACGAAAACGTTCTCTAGAGCACCCCAAACTATAATTTACCATTATTTGTCAACTTGGTAAATCATTAACTAAATCATTCACTTCAGCTAATCCCTTTATTTCCAAACTCCAAATTGGTTTCACAATTAATCTTTTTGCTAGGAATGTAGGAAGTCTCATAATAACAATAAACTAAACAATCACAAAAAAAAAAAAAAAAAAAAAAAAAAAAAAAAAAAAAGAGTATATGCTCCAAAAATCTAATAGTTACAGAATAGTACCAAGAAATATGACGATGACCCATCTTTGATTGTTCCATTTCATTAACTTTCTTCTTAATACAAAGCCTCAAATCCTTCACCGTCGCCGAATTCATGACAACCACATCTAAAAGAGCAGAAATTTGTCAAATAAGAGAATGCACACCAACTGTTTGTGAAAATGACTAAGAGAAGAAAAAGAGAGAGAATACCAAAAGAAGTGGAGTCGAGCTTGAGGACAGTGATACGCATGGCACTGCCGAGCTCTAAACTGATAAGGGTGTCGACATCTGATAAAGATGGCTTCTTTGGGACATCGGCGAGAATGGGATCGTCGAGTAATGCGGCTAACGTCGAATTTAGCTTTGCCCTCTTCACGTTCTCAATGCTATACCCTCCTCCACCGCCTCCGCCGTCGCCGGTCGAAGTAGAAATTTGAGGGTCATTCTTCTCACTCAATTCCATGCTCCTCTTCTCTGCTCTCCTCTCTCACATACACAGACATAACCGCAAAACCAATTATAGACTCGTGTAGTTGTGTGATTCTTTAGACAAACAAAGGTTCGTAAAAAAAAAATACATTTTAATAATCTCAACTAATACCAATTGATTGTTGGTACATTGTTGGTACCGGCCACCTCCCACCTCCCTAACCCCCCAAAAACGGTCAGTCATCCCTTCCCACCCCTAAACTCGCCATCCGACCTTCTCAATCCCCGAATTTCCAGCAGCGCGTCAAATCCAGTCAAGGGTTTCCAGCAACGCATCAAACTCTGGCCGCAAGTCAGGTCTCGCTCGCCACTAAGGAATTCCGGCCGACAGCAGCAATCAACGCGTTCATCGACTCATCAGCAGACCCCTCAATCTTCCCTCTCATTGCCGGTGATTGCGATTTGCTCTGTTCTTGCGTGTTGTTGTTGATTATTGAGGTCGGCGTTGCAATTATGGCGAGAAGGTAGGCGGTGGAGCAGTTTGGAATTGGCGGTAAGGGGATTAAGGGGTTGATGTTGCTGATGGTGTACAGGTGCGGTGTGGCTGGTTGGGTGGTTTCGGGCATCGGGGGTAGGTTAGATGGGTGGCTGGCCAGTTCGGTGGTTAAGGGGGGTGGTCGGCTTCTTGCCGGCGTGTTTATGGGTGGGGTTAGGGTTTGGCGGTGGGGGAAGGTGGTTGAATTTTGTGTTTATTTTATTTTTTTAATTTTAGACCAATCACGTGATAACTTGTTATAACAAGTCGTTGATTTGGTGTTGATCGGTTGGGACTATTAGAGCCAAACACATAGCATAGTTGAGATTATAGATAATAAACCTTAGTTGGGATTATTAGAAATAAATCATCAATAGTTGTGATTATTAAAGTGTATTTTTCCTAAAAAAAAAAGGAGCCCCAATATAAACTAAAGTACTGCTTAATAAATTCAATTATGACGAACGCAAAAACTTTTAAAACCCTAAATGAACAATAACTTCCAACAGGTGTGATATGTACTCCGACAGCAACACCACGGCCGGCAGCCTAACAATACAACTGCCAACAGCAACGCCTTTGCTTCAGCAATTTCATTTACGGCTTTCAACAATTCAACTATAGAGAAGAGGAGGTAAAATGGCTAGGAGTAGAGTACTAACGAAAAATTTGTTGCTTCTGTCAAAGAGTGAAGGAGCCAAGGAGGGTAACTTCATTAACGTTCCGTCAAATAGAATTGAAAACTTTGCCAATTGAAGCCACTTAAAGTTTATGTTTTGCAAATTGTAGCTATTTAAAAAATAAATTGCAGCCCAAAAGAACTTACAACTTGTTAATTGCCATCCAATTTAGTTTTTTTCTCAATTTATGTGCCGAAAAATGTTTTAATAAGGTTTTAGAGGTCATTTGGCCCATAAGGATCCAAATTAAGCTCAAAATTAGCAAAAAATTAACGTAAGTGCCTCGCTTTCGCGGCAAAAAAATAATTACCACAAATCAATACATTTTATGATACGCAAAACGAGGCACTTACGTTAATTTTTTGCCAATTTCGTGCTCAATTTGGATTTTTAAGAGGTATAATGACCCCTAAAACCTTAACGGAACATTTTTCGGCACACAAATCAAGAAAAAAATTAATTTGGGTATCAATTAACAAGTTAGTTGTCCTTTTGGGCTGTAATTTACAATTTATTTTTTAAATGGTTGCAATTTGCAATTTATTTTTTAAATGGCTGCAATTTACAAAATATAAACTTTAAATGGCTACAATTGGCAAATTTTCCAATAGAATTTAGACATAATTTAGAGAAAGATGTTTTTACCCTTAACTAGCTATATGTGAAAGTACGATCTTAACCCCATGATATACATTCCATGTTTCTCAATATCAGAAACTTGGAATTATCCCCATCACCTTGATTAACAAAATTCGTTTATCAAATAACAAAATTGTAAATAAATTATCAAAATTATCCAACCAGCATGACACTTTTGTAATCATATCAAGAATTGTGGGCCTAAATTTACTAAAAAGATTTACAATGTTATTTAACAAGGCAATAAACTTGTATTTTTCTCATGAAAAAAAGAGAAATTCTCAATGGTGACCCCCAACTTCTGCTACGCACACATGGGACCCTCTTGAAAATAGATTATACGAAATGACCCTATTTAAAAATTCAATTTCACTTATAACCTTATTTCATTAAATTGTAAATACAAATTAACTATGGTTAGAATTTTTTTTCTTTTAAAAAAAAAAAGAAAAACAAAAGAGTTTAACCTCACCACCAACCTAGCTAGCCCCAACATCAGTCCACCACCACCACCTCCATCTCAACCCCCTTAACTGCCAGCACCTAAGGTTCCCCGTTCCCCCTGCTGACGACGCTACCCCAGCCCCACCATCACCCAAAACCCCAAACCCCACCGACGACCCTCCCACTCTCTCCTTTTCCCAACGCAACCACATCCTCCCTATCTTTCTCCTCCGCCTAGACCAATCCAGCCACCACCTCCACTCTCATACCCCACCAAACCTATCCAACACCACCTCCACCATAACTCGAGCCACTGAACCCCCTCATCTGAAACACCGAACCTCCCACCTGAACTGTTGAATTATCTCCTCTAACCTTCCCTCCGCCTAGACCCGAACTTTAACCTCACAATTCTTTATCACCTCTGACCGTTCTTCTCCGAACTAGGCTGTTTCGGACGAGGAGGGGTGGTGGGTTTAGGGTTTGAGGTTTCAATTCTGAGTGAGGAGGAGGCAGAAGTTAAGAGAGAGAAAGGGTGGAGGAGAGGGCGGAGAAGAAAGAAATAGAGGGAAGATCGGTGGTCGGGGTTTGGGGTTCAGGGTAATTTGGTGGCCTGGGATGGTCTTCTGTGTTCGGCGGTCTAGAGGCCAAGTGGTCGGGGTAGTTGGGGTCACCGGCACTGAAAGAGGAAGGGATATGGTGGCTGGCTGGTAGAGATGGTGGTGTGGGTTGATGGTTAGTGGTTGTTAATTTTTCTAAGTGTTTTTCTTTTTTATTTAAAAAAAAAAACCTTTTAAAAGGTCAATTTGTATAATTCAATTTCAAGAGAGTCACCATTGAGGTGTAGCAAAATTTAGGGGTCACCATTGAGAATTTCCCTAAAAATAATACTAGTAATATAATTTCAACAAAAATAAGTTAATCCTTACCTTATAAAAAGTACAAGATTACTCTATTCAATAGTATGCTACCAATTATACCCTTTAAAATGTGCATTTACATGTTTACTCTCATTAATATGTACAAGTTTTTATTTTGCGTAGCCTTCATTAATGTTTTTTTTTTCTTTTGTTAATGTTAATTGCCTTTTTTTTTTGGAACTATTTAGAATAGTGTGTGGACATTTATACTCTAAAAATATTTTTTTTACATATTTTCCTTCATTAATATAGCCAACAACTGAAAAAGCTCCTTAAACATGGCTAGCTATGGCGCGCGCGTTAGTCACCCTAGTATATTCAAAATTGGGGAAAAGAAATACAATTCAGACCCAAAATTGAATTGCTGTAAAAAGAAGGGAAGGGAGATGATATATAAACCTTAACTTGAATTGGAGAAGAGAAAAACTGAATTGATGATCATTGGTAAAGGCAAAGAACATTTAGTAAAAATAAGCAACAAGTGAAATTTAAAAGAACTAAAAGATACAAATAAAATCCGATAACTGTACTTGGAAAAGGCATGAACTGCATGATTAATACATTTGGGAATTAGTGACAAGCTAAAGTCGTATCACCTAATCAAAAGAAATTCTTAAGTCCTCTTACTAAAGCAGATACGGAAAGGTCGAATCCACAGGGAAACAACGTCCTTTTACTCCTGATAAATTAATATAATCTAAATTACCAAGTAACCAATATGATTTTATATGCTTTAAACTAAGAGAAATAACTAAACTAAGCAATGAAAACTATGAGAATATCAATAAAATAAAGCCTACGACATAGGTTCACTGATTAATAATATTCCGGGATAAAGGACAACAATCAATCATCAATGCATAAATTAACCAGATTATAAAGGGCTTTCGCTACATATTACAATCACAGAATTAACTTAGAGGTATTAAAACACATCTCTCGAATATTGAATTAACCATTTATAAATTAACCTGCCTATTGAAACTAAGCCTAAACATCCATTCTCATCTGTCGAATCTCGAATCAATATTGTATAACTCATACAATTAAACCCGACCCAATCTAATTGCATAGCATGAGTAAATCAATCAATAGTAAATTAATCTAAAACATTAACAATCAACAATATTAAATCATCCCTTCATATTATTTACGGATCCCCAAGAACCCTAGAAATAAACTACCCACACATAATTAAACTAATCAAAGCAATTAAAATAGACATAACTTATTAAAGCAATGAAATTACTAGAATTAAAAGGGAAGAAAATCGTTACCAAAATAAAAGGAAAATATGAATTGCATAAACCAAAGAGTCGCAATCTAAGAGAACAAATTGCTAGAAAATCTTAAACTAAAAAATTTGGAATAAGCTAATGAATAATGTCCTAAACTCGCTTAACAAAAGCGTATTTATACTAATCCAAAACTTCCTAGAACAATTAAATACAAACAATCTTCGAAAACTTCAGCACATATGCGCGCCCGACTGCCCGGTCAGGTGTGCCTCCACATGCCAGCTACTACTCCCTCGCCGGGGCGAGCCTCCGGGTGTAACTCTTTCTCTTTCTCTCGCCCGGCCGGGCAAGACCACGGGCAACCTTAATACTTTTCGACCTTAGACCTCTTAGCTTGGCCCAAATTCGACTTCTTCTTTGGACCTTCACAACTTCAGTCCATTGCCTTGGTTTTTTCTTCTTTGCGGAGCCCTTAATCATCAGGCTCGATTACTCTAACACTGTCCTGGGCTTCGGAAAACGGTCATATGAGTGCGCTCCATATCCAATGCTCGTAGTGGCTAAAATAATCCCGGGAAATGCCTCAAAATCTGAAATTTCTTATAAAACAATACCAAAGCTGCGAAAACAATAGAAAACGCATGTTAGTAATAAAAATAGCTCCATAGATCCAAAAATACTTCTAAATATGACCAAGGGACGGGGGAAAAATCACTATTTAAAATAGACATATCAATTAGGATAGAAGAGAAAAGGGTTTAGAAGAAACGCTTGACTGAAATTTTTGGAAAACAAGAAGAGGACAAGTGTCTTTCCAACTTCCAGTTTTAAAATATTAGTATAGATGCAAAGTGATTATTTAGTTGGTAATGCCGAGCTGAATAAATTAAGAATCATTCTAAAATTGAATGTAAACATTATGTGAGTACTCAATTGCCAAACTGAATATAAACGTAGTCATCAGCCACTCAATACTTTCATAGTAGTATATGGACAAGTGTTTTTCTTTAACTATGTATAGGTATAAGAAAAGCATTAATAAGATTAAAATTAATTTAATTTTTCATTACTCTTGATAATAAAGATTTTTTTTTATTTTACAAGTTATTTACGGAGTATGAAGTATTTTATTAGCCGTAATGGTAATTTAAATATGAATTGGAGTACAAAATTACTATTATTAATTAACATAAAAAGTATTATTATTATTTTAGTTATTTTTGATACGTATAATATATCTTAGTAATTGTTTGAATAAGTTCTCAGTCAAATGTATGCATGTCCAAAATCAAATCGTCAATTAATTCGGAGCACAACAATGTACTAACGTGTTGCATTGCATAAAAAAAATCATTCGGTTTACTAATTTGTTAATCGTTTTTGGGGGGTTCAATATGAATCCCTAAAATAAAGTTTGGTTTTAATTAGAGTTTTAAATGTTCTTAAACAACTACGCACGGCTACGCTACCCCTAATTGGAAATCCTGGATCCGCCACTATGTACATATATTGTAATATGTTGCTTCTTGCATCTATTGTCCCATATAAGTTTGTGTAAATTAAATTTGTAGATCGAACTCGTATATTGTTTGCTTATATTATTTATGAATTTAAAGTTTGAATTTATTTACA